AATGTCTTGGGATCACGGTGCTGAAGGCTGAGAAGTCTGAAGTGGAGGGGCTGCATCTGGGGAGTCCTATTACTACATCAGAGCCTATGGGGGGCATCACAAGGGTGGCACAGGGCGAGGGCACAGCCCAAGGGAGGATTGAATGCGCTGTTGCAACGAGCCTGCTCCCTAGACAACTAACCCATTCCTTCAGGCTGGACCCCACCTCCCAACAACCTTGCACTGGGATTAAGTTTCCAATATGTGAACTTTGGGTGACATATTCAAACCACAATGAGAAACAAAGAGAAAGAAAGTAGCATTGGAGAGATATTTGCTCGGGTGTCAATTTCCTACTGCGGCCACATGAAACGGTATCAGGAAATAGCACATGTTTGCTTTACCTACAAAATCACTCTAAGTGGGGTGACCACGAATGAAGATTGGCACAGGTGTATTCTATTGGGAACTCAAATGCTGTAAGATTCTCAAAGCAGTGTTACCACTGATGACACAATTTTTTAAAATATTGAGTAATTCCAGTAAATCAAAACATAAACAGGGGGCTGATGTGTCTCAAAGCGTAAAGTCACAGCTTGTGATGCTGGCACCCATTTGGGCGCTGGTTTGAGTCCCAGCTGCTCCTCTTTGGATACAGTTTTCTGCTAATGCACCTGGGAATGCAGAAGATCCCAAGTACTTAATCCCTCTCCCACGAGGGAGATCTGGAAGAAGCTTCTGGCTTCTATTGGGCTCAGTCCTGGCCATTGTGGTCATCTGTGGAGTGAATCAACAGCAAATGGAAGATTTATGTGTGTGTGTGTATCTGATTTTAAAATTAAAATAAATCTTAATCACACACACACTATATATATAAGATATAAGACTTAACCTATATATACATATATATAGGTTAGGTTACCTCTTGTGAGGTCAGTATCCCATTTGAGCATTGGTTTGAGTCCCAGCTATTCTACATCTAATCTAATTTCCTACTAATGCACCAGGAAAGGCAGCAGAAAATGACCCCAGTACTTGGGCTCCTGCTGCTCATGTGAAAGATTTTGATGGAGTTTGAGGCTACCAGCTTTGGTTTGGCACAGTCCTGACCATTGTAGCCATTTTAGATTTATTTAATTTTATTGGAAAGTCAAATATATAGAGAGAGAGGAGAGAGAAAGGAAGATCTTCTGTCTGATGATTCACTCCCCAGGTGACCGCAATGGCTGGAGCTAAGCCAATCCAAAGCCAGGAGCCAACTTCTTTCTGGGTCTCCCACACAGGTGCAGGGTCCCAAAGCCTTGGGCCATCCTTGACTGCCTTCCCAGGCCACAATCAGGGAGCCGGATGGGTAGCGGAGCCACCGAGATTTGAACTGGTGACCATATGGGATCCCGGGGCGTGTGCAAGGTGAGGACTTTAACCATTACACTATTGCGCTGGGCCCTGAAATAAATAAATCTTAAAAAAGAAGAAGAAGAAGAAGAAGAAGATTTCCCTTCTACTGGCTCACTCCTGAAATAGCTGCAATGGCTGGAGCTGAGCTGATTGAAGCCAGGAGCCAGGAGCCTCCTCTGGGTCTCCCACAGAGGTTCCCAGGCTTTAGGCCACCTTCACCTCCCAGAAGCAGGTCACAAGCAGGGAGTTGGATGGAAAGTGGAACAGCCAGGACCTGAACTGGTGTTCTTGCACCATCTTTCATTGCTTTTCTAGATGTGTCAACAGGGAGCTTGATAGGAAGTGGAGCAGCCAGGACTCAAACAGTGTTCAGATAGGGGATGCCAGTGGCAATGGTGTTGCAAGCAGTGGCTGAACCACTGTGACACACTGTTGGCCCTGGGGACACTGATTTTAGTACTTCTTGAGAATAATACATGCATTAAAATGATACCACTGCATGGCTTACTCCCTGTCCTGCTTTGCTCGAAATATCACCTCCCAATAAGGCATTCACGACCACAGCATTTAAAATTTCAATAATCTTCCCAAAGTCTCCATTCCCACGCTTTGCTCTAATTTTCTCCCTTGTTTTTGTCATATTCTGACACCATATCTTCTTGCAGTTTCTTAGTGTCTCTCTCTTCTGGCTAGAATGTAGGTTCCATGAACATGTTTATTCAAGTTCTCTGAAGTATTCTAGACATCAGCACCCAGAAAGGCAATAATGGGCATCTAGAACAGTATACAGGGTAGCCATCCAAGAATTACTCTTTCAATGAACCAGTCTTCTATAGTGTGAAGTGCTATATGAATGACAGCCATTGTCCCAATACAAGGCTCTCACAGCTCCCTCATCATACTGTTTATAACCCTGAGATAGGACAGAGTGGCCCTCATAGTGAGTGTTGCCATGGTAACCTGCCTGGGATAGAGGGGGCAAGAAGCAAATGGGGAGAGGCTGGGGGTGGCGGCGGGTGAGGGCGGAATTCCACCCCATGTTTCCCCATGTAGTGTAGCCCCTGGGGGAAGAACTCCTGCTGCTCCATCAGCACCAGCCAGGAGCTGCACAGGGATGTATCCCACCTGTAGAGCTTTCAGTAGGACCACCATGGCAAGACAGAACCTGTTTGCAAATGGCACTTCATCCAGACACCTGTCTGGATCCAGCAGGTACAGGGGTCTCCCTCAGTCTCTCCTGCCTGGAGCAAGCTATGCTGCCTTTCAGCTCAATCTTCTTCCAGGGAGAGAGATGATAGAGGCCCTCCTTTCCCACCTGCCAACCAGGTGGATCAGAGCTGGCACAAGGAGCGATTGCTGGATGTGCCCCTATGCAAAGAGGACTGTCAGTGCTGGTGGAAGGACTGTCGCACCTCCTACACCTGCAAGAGCAACTGGCACAAGGGTTGGGACTGGACCTCAGGTGGTGCCCCATGGTGGGATGAGGGGGGTGGCAGGGTAGAGGAAGAACATGGGGGAGGAATTTGGACCAAAAGGAGTGGAGAGTTGAGGATTTGGGTTTGGTTGAGGATTTCTGGTGGTGACCGAAAGTGAGCTTTGGGCCAGAGGTTGAATGTCTGTGTTCATCATCATCATCTCTCTCTCCTACAACAGGAGTCAACAGGTGGGGCCACCTGCCGTACATCTGAGTCCTATTTCCCTATGCCCGTCACCCTCCGTGAGGGTCTCTGGAGTCACTCCTACGGGGTCAGCAACTATAGCTGAGGAAGTGGCTGCTGCATTCAGATGTGGTTCGACCTGACCAGGGCAACCCCAGTAAAGAAGTGGCTAGGTCCTATGCAGCATCCATGAATGCTGGGGCCATGACCCGTGGTAACAGCGCTCCCCCACTCAGCCTGGTTCTGCTGCTGCCACTTGGGCTCCTTGGGTGAGCCCTCCTCAGATCTCCATCTGGCTTGAAGGACAAGGCAGTGCTCAGCTCAGTTCCACAAGCCAGGAAACTCTAAGCAAGCCTGCGTTCACTCTGTACCCCTCTGTCAGCCACTTCTTGCTCCATGGCAGCTTCCTACTTGCATTTCCTCCTCCTAATGAACAGACTGACACCTCTGGCTCAGACAATGGCTTTATAAGTGGCTGGGGCATAAGGGCCATAGCTTGTGGATTCCTTCAGATGGGGGCAGCTCTGCCCGGGTTTGAATTCCAGCTCTGCCACTTGAGGTGTGCATGTGAAGCAGTGGCTGCCTGCCACACCTTGGTTCGCGCTCCGTGAGATGGGGCTCCTCATCCTTCCCCCAGGTGTAAAGTGGGATTGAATTGTGGGTCCAGCTCCTGCCCATCCATGCTATCTGGACCGGAGGGAAGTCAAGGTGTGGGATCCTCAGCCGGGAGGGAGCTAACTGGGGCAGGAGGGCGGGGGGAGGGTGGAATCCAGGGGGTGCAGGCCAGGAAGCAAGCCAGAGCTGTCACTGGAAGAGCTTGAGGATCCGTTAGGGCCTTCCAGGGACAGGAGCGCCTCTGTTCCTCAGAGGATTGGCAGCTGTGTCCATCCTGAAGGGCTTTGCACAGCCTTGGGGCCTGCACTGATCTCTGGGTGTCCCCTTGGGGAGCCTTCATCTCTACAGCCCGGATGCAGGCATCTCCAGGGAGGCACAGTCCCACACGCAGGTGGCAGGGGTGTACAGACTCCTAGGCAAGCTCTCCTTCCTCTACCGCGCTGCAAGTTGCCCCTTCCTCACCACAGCCATCTTTCCTGCGGCCCAAAGGCCTTGGATGGGGCGGCGGCGGGAGGGAGGAGCCCTTGGCTCCGTTACTGGGCTTCTGGAAGGACCCGGAGATAGTATAGGGTGGGTACTGATTCCTATCTAGCATGGAAGGTCCCACACGCCCCCTTTTCCTGTCCCAGACTTCAGCCCAGCCCGGCTATAAGCCACACGGATTTGGAACTACGGAAGGAGCTCGACCGCAGTGACCCGGACCCTGTCAACAGGTTCAATTTAGCAAAGTGAAAGTTCCCCGCCAGGTTAAAGCGATCCTCCGACAGTTGCCAAGGAAAGGGCGGCGCGGGCGCCGGGCAGGCGGCCTGCGCCTTTAAGGAGCCTAGGCGGAGGGGCGGGGCAGGAAGGGGACTCCCTGGAGACGCCGCCACCGGCTAGGTCTTTTTTTGGGGGGTGGGGAGGGCGATGAGGGGAAGGGGCGGGCCTGGTGCTCCCTGGGTCCGTCCCGCTCCCGGGGCCGCGTCCCCCCCGCCTTCCGCCCGCGCGGGCCGCAGCTCCGCATCGCCGGCGCCCAGGCGCGGAGTTTGTTGACTCGGGAGGGAGTAGCCGGGTCGGGTTTGAATGCGCGCCCGACCCGCGCGGCGCTTTACAGTTTGCACAGCTGTCACCGTCCCTCCTCCTTCATTAATAACAGAAATAGCCGCCCCCTCGGGGGCGCCCGCCGGAGGCCCGGGCCGCGCCAAGAGCTTTGCGAGCCCCGAGTATCACGGAGTCGGCCCCCTCGTGTAGCCTCTTTCCCCCCCCGCCCAGGGCGCGCAGCGGGCAGCCGGGCTTGCGCGGGGCCGCGGCGCCGGGGCGGGCGGCCCAGGGCCATCTTAAGTGGCCTCTGCCGGGGAAGAGGCCCGGAGCACCGCGGGGGCGCCGCGCTCGCCAGGTCGGCAGCCGAGTTCGGGGCACCTTCCCTCTGTGGGGCCAGAGAACCGTCCCCCTAAGCACTGCGGCGCCCCTGTAGACCCCGGCCTGCGGCGCAAGGGGTGAGGCATGGCAGGGCGGGACTGTGTGAGCGACCGGGGTTCCCAGACTTGGTCTGGGGTCCTTGAGGGAGTGGGCCGGATGGGGAGGGTCTCCGGTGGCGGGGATTCCCTCCTTGGGGCGGAGGGGTCTTGCCAGCCCCAAGGATGGGGACCGGTTCAGCCCAGGCTTCCGGAACCCCGTCCCTTGGAGCTGTAGGAGTTGGCGCGGGGGGAGAGGGTTTGGAGGGGGCTCAGGGTCATTTCAGTCGAGTGTTGACGAGGGACCCCTGGAGTGTCAGGGTGAGGATTGGGGGCGGTGTTTGGACTTGGTGTGTGTTGGGGGGTGGCGGCTGGACTTCCTCGGGGAGCGCCGGGGGGCAGGGTCCCGCGGGAGCACAGAGGCCGCGTCCCCACGGAAAGAGGTTGGTTGGGGGCTGGGGAGGTCCGGGCCGCGGCCCAGCCGAGGGGGAGGGGGCGGCCGCCGGCCCCGGCGCTGCGCGCCCGCCCCTCCCCCGCCGCCTCTGAACAAACTTTTGTTTCTCTTCAAGTTGAGGCTGGTGCTGCAGGCGGCGGTGGTGCGGTGAGCCAGGCGGCCTGCGCGGCGGAGTGCGCCGAGCCCCGATTCCCAGCTCGGGCCGGGCCCCGCGGATCCTAGTCCCGGGCCCGGCTCTGGCCTCAGCCTCTAGCGCCCCGGGGCAGTCGGATGGGGCGCACCGGGTGGCGCTGAGCCCTGCCGCGGGGCCATGGCCTCGGCGTGCGGGGCGCCGGGCTCCGGGGGCGCACTGGGCAGCCCGGTCCCTGCCTGGTACCACCGCGACTTGAGTCGCGCGGCGGCAGAGGAGTTGCTAGCCCGGGCGGGCCGCGATGGCAGCTTCCTGGTGCGAGACAGCGAGAGCGTGGCAGGGGCCTTCGCGCTCTGCGTCCTGTGAGTGAACGGCGGGTATGGGAGGGCTGGGGTTGTCCCGGCGGGCGGGGTGCACACCGAATGGACCGTGGGTAGGTGCGTGAAGCGGACGAGGGCTGGGGGACTGCTGGGTCCCAACTCTGTCTTCCCCTGCTCTAGTAGGGGGCCTGGCTGTACTTGGGGGCTGAGGGAGGGTGCAAGGGGCTCCGACTTCCTGCCTCCATGTCTGGGCGCACTTTCTTGGGGCCTTGAGGACCCAGCGTGCTGGGATGTTCTGCGGCCCATGGTGGTTGTGATGGTGGAGAACGCAGGCAGGTTCCCCGCTGCACCCTGTGCCCCGTTATCCAACTGGTGGTAGGGGCACCCCATATTGCGGGCATTTCTGCTTGTGAGTGGAGCTGGGGGCAGCTGAACTTGAGGGGGTGTGGTACAAATGGCCAGCAGCCCCCTTGGTGGGGGGGTCCTATCTGCTTGGCAGTAGATGATTGGGAGGGCTGTGTGTCCACACACACAGTGGTGGTGGGTACTGAGGGCAAGGACTTGGGGACGCAGAGGGCTAAGGTGTATGGGACCATGCCATTATTTCATGACTCAGTGAGTGAGTGAGTGTGCCTGGCCTCTGGTTGGCTGACCGCTGTAGCCTGAAGCCATTGAGTACCATTGAAGCGCTAAGCCTGCACTTCTCCAACCGGGCCTGCCCCTGGGGTTCTACCTGGCAGCAGTGGTGCAGTGATACTGGCATGAGCTTGCACTTTGAGTTTGGTGGTCTCCTCCATAACCTGTCCCCCCTGCCCCCAAGTCTGCTTTAAGTGGGCTTCTGGGGATTCCTGGGCCAGAGTGAGTGGAAAACTGCAGGGGCTTTGTGTAGCCATCTAGTTAGGTTGTCCCTTAGTCGTTGAATGCCCTCGCCCCGCCAACCCCCGACTCTCTCATCCCCCTCTGTGCCCCCGGCAGCACTGGGGTGTGAATTGGCCCCCCTCTCCTGGACCAGTGGACACAGTTCTGATTTGTCACAATTGGAATGGAGCTGTTGGCATCCAGTGGGTAGACACCGGGGATGCTGGTGGCCACCCTACTGCACATGGGGCAGCCTCCATGGTGGGGGGCTGGGCAGTCCCCTGTGCCAATGGCCCAGAGGTTGCCTCCTGCCTCTAGGGAGGGGCAACTTGGGCAGATGAGTGTCCTAGGAGTCTTGCCTCCCAGCCCCCTTGGAGGCACACCCCTAATTAGAGAGGGGAGGGAGAGGCAGGTGCTAGGTCAGCTGTTGAGTGGGAGGGGGACAGCTGGGGCCTGTGTCTGGGTGGGGAACATTATTCGTCCTAGAATGGGGTGAATCCTGGTTCCATTGCCAGCGGAGGGCCCAGGTGAAATGGCTGGGTGGGGGTTGGGGGTTTGTCTGGTGAGGACGGGGTGGGCTGCAGCTTTGCCAGCTGATTCTGGCATCTCCCTGTGTCTTAGGAGCCTGAGGATTAGAAATGGGTAATTTCTTAGACTTTCCAACAGAAACATGCTTGCCTCCCTGTACACACCTACAAGGACATGAATAAAAGGGAAGATACCCCCGTACCCCCCATCAGTCACTGGGCTGCCAAGCAGCATGCCAGCATAGGGACCCCAGCATCTGACTCAGTTGAAGACCCAGCTCTGCTCTTTGCTCGCTCTGTGATCAGCTTTTTGTGTTTGAGCCTCGGTGTCCCCATCTGGAGAATGGGGATGATCATTATTTCTGCTTTAGAGTGCAAACAGTCAGTGAGATCTGCAGGACTGTGGGCACGCAGGCTGGCGTAGAGACAGGGTTCAGTTACTGGGACACTGTTTTTGTTATAAACACAGACTCCCAATGCACACACTGACACACCCAGTCACACACAACACCTGCTAAGCGCAGGCCACCGGGATTCCTTCGGTACAGAGCTAACTTGCAGAGGGGAGAAAGTGACCTCATGCCCATGGTTGTTGGTGGTGGGGAGAGGTGTTCCCCTCCCACAGGTGTTGCCAGCACCTGCCCAACACACATACCAGGTCCCAGTACCTTCCCTGACCTAATGGTCTCTGAGGTGTGGAGGCCTGGGGGGTGGGGTGGGGTGTGTGTGTGTGTGTGTGTGTGTGTGTGTGTGTGTGTGTGTGTGTAGCGGTGGGGTCTTCCATCCTCCATTGAGTGTGTGCTTGGTTCAGCTGTCACCTGTTCAGCTGCTACTGCTGTCTGTCAGCACCCCCCTTTCCCTGCCCCTCCTCAGCCTGGAGCTCCCATAGGGGCCTAGAATGACGCCCCCATATTCCTCAGTGAACTAACCCCTCTCAACATTGGACACACAGGGCCAGATGACAATCCAAACACAGATGGTGGGCACACACGTACAGATATGCCAGTCGGGTTTCTGAGGATTCTTACTCTGGCGGGGGGCCCAGCCTGGTCCCGCAGCCCAGAGGGGCTGTTTAGACAGCTGTAGAGGCCACAAAAGAGTTGCCTGTTGCTTCCCCAGTGGGTGTGGAGTCTCTGGAGTTGGTGGTGAGGGGAGGTCTGGCCACTGCTGCTGCTGTTGGCAAGAGTGGAAGTGGATAGGTACCACTGTTGACCCTCTGCAGCCTGGGCCAGTGGTTGGGTTGGGAGCTGTGTAACTGAGGCATGTGGCAGCAGGAGGAGGAAGTGACGCTGCTGTGCCCCACCTTTGCCATCAGGTATCAGAAACATGTGCACACATACCGCATTTTGCCAGATGGGGAGGACTTCCTGGCAGTGCAGGTAGGACCTTGGACCTCTGACCCCTGCCTGACCTTGATCCAGGCCAGGGTTTGGGACCCTACTGGCTGATTCTCCCCCTCTTCCCCCTTGCCTGACCCACAGACCTCGCAGGGTGTGCCCGTGCGCCGCTTCCAGACTCTGGGGGAACTAATCGGCCTGTATGCCCAGCCCAACCAAGGCCTGGTGTGTGCCCTGCTGCTGCCTGTAGAGGGGGAGAGAGAGCCAGACCCGGCGGACGACCGCGATGCCTCAGGTGCTGCCCTGCAGGCCGGTTACCCGACTCTTCCCTGCCCTTTCCCTGGCTCTGTCTGCTTCTGCCACCCCTCACCCTGTCTCAGTCACATCTCCCCGCTGAGACCACCGTCCCTAATCCCTGTACATTCTGGGAAGTCTCTGACAGCTGTCACATGAACCTCTGCCCCTGCCAACACACACCCAGTCATTCCACTGCTGCCCTGCTGACCCCTGTCCACAGATGGGGAGGATGAGAAGCCCCCGCTGCCCCCACGCTCCGGCTCCACCAGCATTTCTGCCAGCCCCCCGCCAGTCCCTGAGACTCCCACTACTACAGCTGCTGAGAGGTGAGACCCCAGGCTCCCTCATGGGTATGAGGTCCCATTCCTCCCAGGAAAACTGCCTCCCTACCTCCCTCGTCTCAGAGCCATCCTGCCCTGACCCCGCCACCAGTACTGTTTCTTGAAGGGATGGAGTGGATGTGGTGGGACAGGGTGGGGAGGACCTCTGCTGACTCTTGATTCCCTGCCTCCTGAAGCACTCCCAACGGGCTGAGCACCATTTCCCACGAGTACCTGAAGGGCAGCTACGGGCTGGACCTGGAGGCTGTGAGGGGTGGTGCCAGCAACCTGCCCCACCTCACCCGTACTCTCGCCACCTCGTGCCGGAGGCTGCACAGGTATCTGGGGACAGCCGACCCTGTGCACCCCATTCTGACCTCTGACCCCATTGCCTCTTGACCTTCCCTCATCTGTATCCCCTGCCTGGGGTAAAGGCAGAGGCTACGCTGGCCACACCCCCTTCCTTAATCTTCCACCCTGCCATCTCCCCTAGTGAGGTAGACAAGGTGCTATCGGGCCTGGAGATCCTGTCCAAGGTGTTTGACCAGCAGAGCTCGCCCATGGTGACTCGCTTGTTGCAGCAGCAGGTAGAACTGTGGGGAGTGCCCTGGGAGGGGGTGGGTGCTCTTGGGCTGGGCAGCATACCTCTGCCTAGAGCCGATGCATATTGCCCTCATTCCTTCTGCCCACCCCCCCGCCCCAGAACGCACCTCAGACAGGAGAACAGGAATTAGAAAGCCTGGTGCTGAAGCTTTCCGTGCTGAAGGACTTCCTATCTGGCATCCAGAAGAAGGTGGCATGACCCCTGACCTCTGTCCCTGACCCTTGATCTCTGCCCACCTTCACTGGCTTTGCCCTGTTCTCAGCCCTGATCTACAGCTTAGCATGCACCCTATCCCCACAGTATCAGCTGTCCCCCAGCCCTCAGTGTGCACCCTGATCTTACTCTGGCCCCTTCAGGCCCTGAAGGCCCTACAGGATATGAGCTCCACAGCACCCCCTGCCCCACTGCAGCCATCCACGCGTAAGGCCAAGACCATCCCTGTGCAGGCTTTTGAGGTACATGGCCGGTGGGGCATCCCTCCCTAGGAGCCCCAGGAGCTTGGAGGTGCTCTGGCAAGGGGCGCTGTCTGCCAGATTGTCAACAGCCTCCTTGCCTCCTGGCCTGCAGGTGAAACTGGATGTGACTCTGGGAGACCTGACCAAGATTGGGAAATCACAGAAGTTCACGCTGAGTGTGGATGTGGAGGGTGGCCGGTTGGTGCTGCTGAGGAGGCAGCGGGACTCCCAGGAGGATTGGACCACCTTCACGCATGACCGCAGTGAGCCTGGGGACTGGGGCCAGATGGGCAGGTGAGCTTTGTGGGGAGAGTCCTCAGCCTGTGTGGTGCAGGCCCGGGTGACCTGTCCTCCCTCCCTGTCTCCCAGTCCGCCAGCTCATCAAGTCCCAGCGTGTCCAGAACAAGCTGGGCGTTGTGTTTGAGAAAGAGAAGGAGCGGACCCAGCGCAAGGACTTCATCTTCGTCAGTGCTCGGGTGAGCAGCAGCTGGGACCTGGGGCAGGGGGCTGGTCCCAGGCCCCCACCCCATCGGGTGGGAAGAGGAGACGTAGGCGTGCCTTCCCTCTTGGCAGAGGTGGGGCAAGCCGGGCTGAGAGATTATTGAGAGCAGGTAGCGCAAGGGTGAGCTCTCGCTAAGCACCTGTTGTGGACTTGAACAGTGAGATGTGCTAGGCAGGCATGAGCTTTCTTGGCACCAGTGGATGGGGGCTCCTGGCACCTCCCCTCCCTTGACGGACTGCTGCCCCCCTCATCCCCAGAAGCGGGAGGCCTTTTGCCAGCTGCTGCAACTCATGAAGAACAAGCACTCCAAGCAGGACGAGCCTGACATGATCTCTGTCTTCATAGGAACCTGGAACATGGGTGAGGCCCCAGGCTGGGCTGGGCCTGGCTGGGCGGGGGAGACGAGGGCGGTGGTCAGAGCAGTGCCTGACCTCCTTCCCCCGCCCCCTCCAGGAAGTGTGCCCCCTCCGAAACACGTGACGTCTTGGTTCACATCAAAGGGTCTGGGAAAGACCCTGGACGAGGTCACTGTGACCATCCCCCATGACATCTATGTCTTTGGGACCCAGGAGAACTCAGTGGGCGACAGAGAGTGGCTGGACCTACTGCGTGGGGGCCTCAAGGAGTTCACAGATTTGGATTACCGCCCGGTGAGGGGTCATCCTGTCCAGGCCCCTGTCCTCACACCCCATTCCACACACTCCTGCTTGACTTCACGGAACACCCTGGGGACACAGCTGAATTGGTTTGTCCTCTGGTCACCACGCTTAGCCTTTGGAGCACCTAACAAATGTCCCTGCTACAGGAGGGCCACATCCTCTGGTTCCTTAGGAAAAAGGCTAGCAGGCCTTTATTTTTAGAGTAGTTCTTTTGCACTTTTTGCTTTTTAAGGATTTATTTATTTTTATTGGAAAGTCAGATATACAAAGCGGAGGAGAGACAGGGAGGAAGATCTTCTGTCTGATGGTTCACGCCCCAAGCAGCTGCAACGGCTGGAGCTGAGCCAGTCTGAAGCCAGGAGCCTCTTCTGAGTCTCCCATGTGGGTGGAGGGTCCCAAAGCCTTGGGCCATTCTTGACTGCTTTCTCAGGCCACAGGCAGGGAGCTGGATGGGAAGCGGGGCTGCCGGGATTAGAACCAGCGCCCATATGGGATCCTGGTGTGTTCAAGGCGAGGACTTTAACTGCTAGGCTGTCGTGCTGGTCCTGCATTGTACTCTTCACATGTGAATATTGGATGATGTAATTCTTTTCCAAATTCTTCCAGTTTCTGTATTTTGGAATTCTTTTTTTCTTTCTTAAAGATTTATGTATTTTTATTGCAAAGTCAGATATACATATATATGGAGAGGAGAGAGACAAAAAGGAAGATCTTCCATCGGATGATTCACTCTCCAAGTGACTGTAATGGCTAGTGCTGCGCTGATCCAAAGCCAGGAGCCCAGAATTTTTTCCAGGTCTCCCACACGAGTGCAGGGTCCCAAGATTTTGGGCTGTCCTCGACTGCTTTCCCAGGCCACAAGCAGGGAGCTGGATGGGAAGTGGAGCTGCTGGGATTAGAACCGGCGTCCATATGGGATCCCGGCACAATCAAGGCGAGGACTTTAGCCACTAGGCCACAGCACTGGGCCTGTATTTTGGAATTGTATGGCTAGCTGTGTTTGGGTTTATAATTGTCATCTCTTTCTGACAAATTGACCCTTTTGTTATTATAATACACAGACACACACATTTAAAATTTATTTGAAAAACAGAAAGAGATTTCCCATCCATTGGTTTTCTGTTCAGATTGGGTCAGTCTGAAGCCAGGGGCTGTGAACTCAGTCGTGCTCTCCCTTGTGGGTACAGGGCCCACTACCTGACTCATACCCCGAGGTGTGCATCAACAGGGAGCTGAGCTGGGATTGGAACCCAAATGTTCCGGTATGGGAACATCCCAAGTAACATCTGCTTGGCTCAGTGCTGGCTCCAGAAACAGTCCTGGGGGAGTGCAGACAGGTGCCTCAGCCCGGAACCCAGCTAACCCCAGTCGCTCCACCAGATCGCCATGCAGTCACTGTGGAACATCAAGGTGGCCGTGCTGGTCAAGCCAGAGCACGAGAACCGCATCAGCCACGTCAGCACCTCCAGCGTGAAGACCGGCATTGCCAACACCCTGGGTGAGCAGAAGGCTACTTCCTGAAGGCGCCGGGCTCCCTCTGGCCTTACCTCCTGCCACCTCTTCAGTTCAGGGTCTCCCTACCTTGGCAGTCTCAGCTTCATTCCCGCCCCCCATCCCATTGGTAGAGTACTCTGAGCTTCATAGAACAGCTCCTATTCTACATCTCTTCCAGTGCCATTGGGAAGGCGAGGCCAGGAGAGTTGCTCCCATTTTTGTAGATGGTTAAATTCTAAGCCAGAGTGGTCAAGTAGCCCATCCAGGGGCACTCAGCCAGTAGGTGGGAGAGCCAGGCATGGTGTCTGCATCTTGTGATTTGCAATCCAGGGCTCCCTTGGGATCCGATCGTGGGTCTATCAGCACCCAGGGGCTCGCTTAGGCCTGTGAGGGGCCCTGGTGAGGGCTTGGGACCTGCCTGTCCACAGTGCCTGCAGCTGGGAGGAAGGCTCCTCTCCCGATTGCTTTGAGGGATGCAGGGATAGTTGTAGTCCTGCCAGGTGACCTGGGCCCTGCTGTTTCACTGGCCCTGACAGGGAACAAGGGAGCTGTGGGTGTCTCCTTCATGTTCAATGGCACCTCATTTGGCTTTGTGAATTGCCACCTCACCTCGGGGAATGAGAAGACTGCACGGTGAGTGGGTGCTCCTCCCCCTGCCCCTGGTCGCCTGCTGCCTGATCCCCTCTCCCACCTCCTTGGCCATGATCCTCCTACACCCCTGTCCCCAGAGACCCTCTTCTCAACCAGGCCAGCTGAGAGCCTCTGCCTCTTGCTGACCCTGCCTTGCTCGCAATCTCTCCCTCTGCGCCTTTTCCCAGCCACGGTCTGAGTTATGCCTGGCCTTGACTCCTGATCCTGGGACTTCTCTCCCCCTCCTTGCCATCCCCTCCCCGTCCTCCCAACCTTAGGCGGAACCAGAACTACCTAGATATCCTGCGGCTGCTCTCGCTGGGCGACCGGCAGCTCAATGCCTTTGACATCTCTCTGCGTTTCACTCACCTCTTCTGGTTTGGGGACCTCAACTATCGCCTGGATATGGATATCCAGGTGCCAACAGGGCCCTGTGTGTGTGAAGGGGTGATGGAGGCGGGGTTGGGAAGAAGCTTGGGGGCCTGATGGCCATCAGCCCCAGCTCTGGCTCAGGACCCTCTGTGTCCCCCAACTCAGGAGATCCTGAACTACATTAGCAGGAAGGAGTTTGAGCCCCTGCTCAGGGTGGACCAGCTCAACCTGGAGCGGGAGAAGCACAAGGTGTTCCTTCGATTCAGTGAGTGTGGGCCTGGTGGGCAGCACCCTGGAACTCAGGGGGCCCGTCTGTCTGAGTTTTCAGGACCCTGAACCCTCCCTGTCTGTGCTTTCCTTAGGTGAGGAGGAGATCTCCTTCCCACCTACCTACCGCTACGAGCGGGGTTCCCGGGATACATATGCCTGGCACAAGCAGAAGCCCACTGGGGTGAGCAGAAACACAGTGTGTCGTTGGGGACCTGCAGTGAGGACTCAGCTTATAGGATCACTCAGGGTGACCCTGGGGGTGGGAAGCTCCAAGGAGGGAGGTGGATGCTGGTACCCTGTTAGTAGGGCACAGGCTGTGCGGCATACAACTGACAGATGTCATCACACTGCACCTCCCAATGTGACCCAGGTCCGGACCAATGTGCCCTCATGGTGTGACCGGATCCTGTGGAAGTCCTACCCCGAGACCCACATCATCTGCAATTCTTATGGTCAGAGCCTCTCAGGCTGGGTGATGGGGGGATGCTGGGTGGGGCAGGGCTCAGCAGGTGGAAGCAGGGAGTAGCAACATCTCTCCTGAGCTCCATGCCCCCTCCCCAGGTTGCACGGATGACATTGTCACCAGCGACCACTCTCCTGTGTTTGGGACATTTGAGGTGGGAGTTACCTCTCAGTTCATCTCCAAGAAAGGTGACTCTTATGGATATACTGTGGCTTGCATCTGTGTAGGGACAGGTGTGGCCTGGGCTGGTGTGCACATGTGTTTTTGTACATACATGCAAGCACAGAAGTGTGACATGCGATGTGTCTCCATGCCTAGGTCCATGTGTGTGTGTAAAAATATGTTTATGTGAGCCCAGGTGTGCCTGAGGGGTGGCAGATTGTCAGTGGGAAGGTCCATATGCCTTCTGGTCCCCAGCTCTACCCCAGGCCTTTCATCCCTGGCTTCAGCTTTGGGGTCTACCCTTTGGCGGTTTAGGATTGGAAAGTCCCTCTTGGCCTTGCTTCCTTACTTTTTGATTCCCAAGCTCAGCGTACATCTGTCCCTCTGCTCCTGGGATCCCCTCTTAGTCCCTCTTGTCTGTCCTCCCACATCCCTCCCAGGGCTCTCGAAGACTTCAGACCAGGCCTACATCGAGTTTGAGAGCATCGAGGCCATTGTGAAGACAGCCAGCCGCACCAAGTTCTTCATTGAGTTCTACTCCACCTGCCTGGAGGGTCCGGGATGGGGCCCAGGGCTGGGTGTGAGCCCCGGGGAGGGAGAGAGGGGACCAATAGCAGTCCAGAGCCATCGGCCCCCTACTTAGGGGGAAGGGAAGCCTGAAGGTGGCACTCAGTTGGGTATCCCTGTCATACCCCTCCAGAGTATAAGAAGAGCTTCGAGAACGATGCCCAGAGCAGCGATAACATCAACTTCCTCAAAGTACAGTGGTCCTCACGCCAGCTACCTACGGTGAGGCTGCAGGCAGGGCTGGGGCTTGTGGGTGAGGCCACGAGGAGTGTGACAGAACACTGTGCGGAACCTGCCTGGGACCGAGGGTGGGGCCAGTGGAAACTGTGTGTGCGTGCATACATGTTCATACATGTGTGCATGAGGGTAAGGACATTGGCTTTATTGGCATGCTATGCAGCCAAGCTGGCGGTTTGTTCATTCATTCAATGAATGTTTCTTGAGACTTTTGCTAGCTAAGTGTCAGGCTCTGTCTTGACCACTGAGGATGCAGAAAGCTAATCAGTTACAGTGCTGCAGAAGGCTTGCACAGGCTGTATTCTCTGTTAAGGGTTTCGGGGTCTTAGGAGGTGAGCATGGGTGGGCTTGAGGGCAGGGGGGAAGAGCAGCATGTGGGAGGGACAGAGGGGTGGTTGGGGCTTCTTTTTTTTTAAGATTTCTTTATGTATTGGAAAGTTAGTATTACAAAGAGAGAGGGGAAGAGGGATCTTCTATCCACTGGTCTATTCTGCAAAAGTTCACAGTGGCTAGGATTCACTCAGGAGCAAAGCCCGGAGCCAGGAACATCCTCTAGGTCTTCCCTGTGGATGGCAGGGGCCCAAACACTTGGGGTGTCTTCTGCTGCCTTTCCAGGGCATTAGCAGGGAACTAGATGGGAAGTGGAGCAGCGGGAGTTTCAGCCCGTATGGGATGCCGGCACTGCAGTGCTGGCCTGCGGCTTTGTTCTTTAGTGGGCCTCTCTACTCACAGCTCAAGCCCATTCTGGCTGACATCGAATACCTGCAAGATCAGCACCTCCTGCTCACAGTCAAGTCCATGGATGGCTACGAGTCCTATGGTGAGGGACGAGGAGTGCTCAGGAGTGCAGGAAAACCAAGCTGGATTTGAGAAAGGCTTGGCAGTTTGTGAGCTGTTTCATCTCACCCTCAGGGGAGTGTGTGGTTGCACTCAAGTCCATGATTGGCAGCACGGCCCAGCAGTTCCTGACCTTCCTGTCCCACCGTGGCGAGGAGACGGGCAACATCCGAGGTTCCATGAAGGTGCGGGTGCCCACGGAGCGCCTGGGCACCCGTGAACGGCTCTACGGTGGGAACTCCATTGGGAAGGATGGGACATGGGATGATGGAGGGAGGTGTCAGGCTAGGCTGCTGGCAGGTGGCAGGTCCTCAGCACCCCTCTGAGTCTCCCCTCATCTTCTGACCTAGAGTGGATCAGTGTTGATAAGGATGAGGCTGGAACAAAGAGCAAAGCCACCTCTGTGTCCCGAGGCAGCCAGGAGCCCAGGTGAGCCGGGGCTGTGACAGCTACTGCACACACCTGAAGGGGTTCTCCTTAAGTGCCCAGATGAGCTCCATTCATTTCCCTGTCCTGTGCATCCTGGGCAGGTCAGGGAGTCGCAAGCCGGCCTCTGCGGAGGCCTCCTGCCCGCTGTCCAAGTTGTTCGAAGAACCAGAGAAACCACCACCCACTGGGAGGCCACCGGCCCCACCCCGAGCAGCTCCCCGGGAGGACCCCTTGACCCCCAGGTGAGAGAAGGAACGCATCGTCCCCCCACGCTGTACCTCTCATGGCAGCCCTAGGATCCTCTGCCACCCGTGGCCTTTTGCCCATGGCCAGTCTGGCCAGCCAGGCCTTCCTTGGTGTGTGTGGCTCTGAGTCAAAGGGAGCATGGTCAGCGTTTCCTCCAGAGCCTGCTTTCAAAGCTGCTCCCTGCGTAAATGGCCTGAGCTTGAGGTGCTGTGGAAAGGGGGCCCACGCAGCCCAGTGTGTGAGGCCCGGCAGCCTGTCCCCCAGGACCCTATTGGAAACAGGCCTGTGGTCAGAGGGATTTGGGAGATGCTTTCTGCGGGATTCTTTGCTCAGATAACCCAGCCCCCCACCCACTGCTGAGCATATCAGACCCAGTATGAAAAAGGGAAGCTGTAACCTTAGCGTTAGGTCCTGGTGTTCCTTCTTGGGGCAAGGGAGACTTGCTCTCTGAGGACAATCCAGTTGTCACCCTGAGGTACCCTGTGGTGCTTTTCCACTCCTCTGCAGCTTTTCAGCCCCAGGCTGAATTCCTGAGAGAGTCTGCAGACCTTGACCCTCTCCTGGGAGCCCTTTGTCCCCCATCTGCAGGAGGTCTGTGTTTCCCTGCATTTGTGCTTAGTCACAAAGGCACAGAAGCCTTGAGAATCTTAGCAAGCGAAGAAAGGGCATTCAGGGTTATCTGTTGGAGAACTCCTACCCCTGCCCACCCACCCCAGTCTCTAAGACAGTGGCAAGAAGGGCACATGTGGTCTTCCCACTGGCCTGCCGTCTCCTGCCCAGTTCTCCCCTGTGTTGTGCCTATCACTCTTGTCATCTTCGTGGGTTTCTGGGTTCTAATCTACCTTTTCCTGCTCCCAAGGTTGAAGCCAGAGGGTGCTCCTGAGCCGGAAGGGGCGACGGCCCCCCCACCCAAGAACAGCTTCAATAACCCCGCATACTACGTTCTCGAGGGGGTCCCGCACCAGCTGCTGCCCCCAGAGCACCCCTCAGCTACCAGGGCCCCTGCCCCACCTGCCACTAAGAACAAAGTGGCAATCACTGTGCCTGCCCCACAACTTGGGCGCCACCGGACCCCCCGTGTTGGGGAGGGCAGCTCCTCCGATGAGGAGACTGGGGGCACGCTACCCCCTCCGGACTTCCCACCCCCTCCCCTGCCAGATTCGGCCATCTTCCTGCCCCCAAGCCTGGATCCTTTGCCAGGGCCTGTGGTCCGGGGTCGCAGTGGTGGTGAAAGCCGTGGTCCACCCACTCCCAAGGCTCACCCGAGGCCCCCGCTGCCGCCGGCTCCCTCCTCTGCCAGTGCTTTCCTGGGAGAGGTGGCCAGCGGGGATGACCGCTCCTGCTCGGTGCTACAGATGGCCAAGACACTGAGCGAGGTGGACTATGCCCCCGTGGGGCCTACACGCTTGGCGCTCCTCCCTAGCCCCCTGGAGCTGCAGTCGCCCCGAGGACTGCCCTCGGACTATGGCCGTCCCCTCAGCTTCCCCCCACCCCGCATCAGAGAGAGCATCCAGGAGGATCTGGCAGAGGAGGTGTGTGGTCCAGGGGTGATTATCCTGTGTACCTGAGGAGTGTGCTTGCTGCATGCCCACCACCTGTGGGATCCTTTCACTCTAGCATCCAGCAGGTCCCCACATCCCCTCTGGTCCTAGGACCTGGGAGGACATAATGACTCAGTACTTGTACATACCTGCTTCCCCCAGAACGTGGGTAAAATGGCTGCCCATGGGTGTTTCCATGGTATGGGGGGTGGGGGAGGAGCTTTCCGTCTCTCCCTGACCGTGCCCCCCTATTCCCCCAGGCTCCATGCCCGCAGGGCGGGCGGGTCGGCGGGCTGGGTGAAGCGGGCATGGGTGCCTGGCTGCGGGCCATTGGCTTGGAGCGCTACGAGGAGGGCCTGGTGCACAATGGCTGGGATGACCTCGAGTTTCTCAGGTTGGGGCGGGGCTGGAGGTGGATGGGTTGGGGTTTGACCCCCCCCCCGGGGGTGGGGTGAGGTGGGGTGGGGCAGAACCCGGGGCCCAGCTCTCAGCTTCTCTCCCTCCCCCCCACTTAGTGACATCACCGAGGAAGACCTGGAGGAGGCTGGGGTGCAGGACCCGGCTCACAAGCGCCTCCTTCTGGATACCTTACAGCTCAGCAAGTGATGGCTCCAATCTGGCTAAGCTGCAAACTCCAGGGTCCCTCCTGAATTGAGGCCTAGCTGTAGCCCTGGGAGTGGGAAGTTAGGGCTGGGGCAGTACCTCTCTGCCAGTTTATTGGGAATCTGAATTCTCCACTGCCCAATCATCTGGAAAGCCCTGATTAGGACATCCTGTTCCTCACCTTTTTGAGGCCCATTTGCCACGGGTACCAACCACCTTGGTCACTGGGTCTGGTGCTGTCAGTCCCTGGATCCAGCTCTGCGGGTGGTGCCTGCCAGTGGGCTACAGTTGGTTGTGTCCATCCCTCCCCTAAATCGCCCCAGTGGCTTCTGAGGTCCCGCATGGAGGGGGAGCCTCAGCAGGACCTCCTCTGGCTCTTCCAGGGAGAGTAGGGGTTTGTCCGGAAATGAAGGAATAGTCCTGGTCCTGGGCTCTGGTTATTTAAGCCTTTCTGTGTGGGTTTGGGGAGGGAAGTCACCCCAGTGTTGTTGGGGTTGCTGGGGAGGGGCGGGCTGTTGCTTGGCCTGCCCCTCCCTGTGCTGGAAACGGCGGGGCTTGGTTCCTCGCTTGGCTGCAACCGGGGGAAGATTTTGCAAACAGCCATGCCCCTGTCTGGGCACTCCAAAGGGTTGCCGGAGGGATGTCTTCAATAAATTAAGTTTTATTTGGATTGAGCAAAACTCACCTCAATAAATTACAAGTTTTTCAAAGAAAAGGAACAACAACAACAACCAAAGGAAAAAAACCCAACAGGAATAGGAAGCCTCTGCCACCACTTCCACTCTACAGCCCCTCCACTCTGACAGGTGCACTGGGCGCCAGACCCGCCAGGAAGGGGGAGGGATGCAAGGCCACAGGACCCTTGTGGCTGACCCCGGCCTCGGTAGGGAATGGGTCCAAGGGGGTGGGATAGCCAGCATCCCTGGCCACTGAGATAAACAATGATTCAACCAGCAGCAGAACCAGCGAAGGGGCTGTGCCGCTCCTCTTTGGGGAAGCTCACATTGAGGGCACTTTGGGGTTAGGTGTCATTTGATCCGGCCTGCAAAGAAATCCAGGCTGGTGAGAGCTCTGTGTTCTCCAAGAGGGGTCCCTGTGAAAGGCTCCACTCTGCAGGTGCGGGTGGCAGACCACTGCCCCTGGCTTGGTCTCCAAGGTCAGGGCGGGCACACGGAGGGGTAGGACATCATTGGGGGCAGGAAGAGATGGGATTTCCAGAATGAGAGGGATTCTGTTGGGTCCTGGGCCCGGGGTGGCTCTGGGGGCAGGCTGGGGAGCCTCCGGAGGCTGGTGGCTAGAAGAGGTTGGTCTTGAGGGCAGGGCCGGGTTTCCGGTGAAAGGAGGACAGAACTCCCGAGAAGGGTCCCGGCCCGGGTTCCGCCGGCTGCCAGGCCTTCAGCAGCTCGGCTGCTCCCGCGCCCGGGCCACCGCCACCTCCGCCCCCGCCGCCTGCCACGCCGGCCCATAGCGCGCCCTTGAGCGGCTGCGGCCCGGGCCCAGGCCCCGGCCCAGAGCCCAGGGCGGCGGGCAGCGGACTGGGGCTCAGACGCGGGCTGGCCAGGCTGGGTGCGGGCGGCGGTGGCGGCGGCGGCGGCGGCAGTGACGCGGTGCTGTCGGGCGTGGGGCTGCACGTGGACTCCTTGGAGTCGTCGTCCTCGGACGAGCAGCGCGCCTCACCCTTTTTGGCTCCTGCCGTGCCCGCCGCGCCCTTGGCGCTGGCCGCGCGCTCCTGTTTGCGGAACTTGGCCCGGCGGTTCTGGAACCAGACCTGCGGGAACAGCGAGGGTCCAGTCAGGCGGGACCGAAGGCAGAGGACCCATGCGGTCAAGGGGCCAGAGACCGCGGCCAGAGAAATGGACCGGCATGGGAGAGGTCCTCGTCCTGCGAGCACTGGCTCTCAGCCCTCCGTCCCTCCATTCGTCCCTTCCTCCGGAGGTCCTGCACTTGTCTGCCTTTGCTTTTTTTCGTTCTTTTTCACCTGCAGCCTTGTCCCGCAGGGCCCTTTTTTAGAAAGCTCTAGGATGTGCTGCCAGGGTCCAGGGGCTGGAGGTCCAGGTGCGTGAAGGCCGGGGCTCTGGGGGAAACCTTTTGTTCAGGGCCGCCAATCAAGGCGGCTGGGTAATCTCTGTATTCTGACAGGCAGCAGGGTCTGCCCTGCTGGCTCGGCTCTGCACCTGCCCCAGGTTCAGCGGTCCCAGCGGCAGCATCAGCAGCAGCGTTGGCGGGTGGTGACGGGGAGGAGCCCCTGGAGGTGCCGCCTGGCTCGCCCCACTCCCCCCTAAGACCCCGCCGGCCCTAGCAATGAGACTGAGGCGGAAGTCGAAGCAGAGCAACATGGCCCTAAACAGTTCGGGGTCCCCCAGCCCGGAGCTGCGGCCTCTGGCAGGATGCAATTGACCGAGAACCCCAGGTGTCCGGGCGTTAACTTCCCGGCACCCCTCCGCGCGCGCACAAAACGCACCTGCACGCGAGCCTCGGTGAGGTCGATCTTGAGCGCCAACTCCTCCCGCGTGTATATGTCGGGATAGTGGGTCTCCGCGAAGACGCGCTCCAGCTCCTTGAGCTGAGCGCTGGTGAACGTGGTGCGGATGCGCCGCTGCTTGCGCTTCTCGTGCAGGCCAGACGGCTCCGGGAAAAACTTGTAGGGCACTGAGGGGTGTGTAGGGAAGGACAGCGACAATGAGGGTTAATGAGGAGGCGGGAGTTGGGGTGAGAAGCAGAGTTTAGCTCCCCCAAGCCGTGTCCTAAACCAGAACGCATTGTGGGCACCACCACCCTGGCCCCTGGGCAGTCATTCCTACTGGCTGCGCAGACTGGCAGATATGAAGCAGGATGGGGATTCAGGAGATCCGCACCCCAAGCCTAGGCTGAAGCTAAGAAACCAGAGTCCGACCTTCCAGCCCAGGTCTCCTGCGCATCCATCTGCCCCTTGGTCCCACCCTTTGCTCTCAGCTGCTCTGACTGACTGACCTCAGGTTCTGCCCTGTGCAGCCCATCCCTGGATGTATCTGTCTGTGTGTGGGCTGTCTTACCAGCAGCAGGTACCACTTCCCCCACTTCCACGGAGACCCCTGCCAGTCCTCTGCAGGTGCCCCTGCACGCACACCCAGGGCCCCTCCCGCATGTCTCCTTACTTCCCTCAGCCCTATGTCTCCCATCCCAGGTCCCCATGCCCCTCCAGGTGCACCCCTCACCTCTTCCTCATCTGAGTCTCTCTTCCTCTTTCCCATTATGGGCCCCTCTTCTCTTTGTGCCCATGGGGAAGGGTCCTTATTTCTCCCAAATTCCTCCATCTTTCTGCCCACCACTCCCTCCAAGGCTCCTTCTGTGTGTGCCACCCCCCAAGGCTATCTTCCCTTCCCCAACCTCTCTCCATCCCCAGCCTTGTCTCTACTGCTCCACGGTCAGCATCCCAACATCTGACACTACCTTCCCACCTGTATTCTTGGGGGCCTTCATCTCCACCTCTCTGCATCCGTCAACCCTCACCCTTGTTGCCAAAACCCAACCCCTAGCTCCATCTTCCTGGACTGTCTCTAATCTTTTCTGGGCCCTATCTGCAGCCCTGCAACCCTCAATCCTGGCTCCCTAGGTCCCCCCAGTCTTCCCTCTTGTCTCTCTGGAGCCCCTGTTCCCCAAGTCCTCTTCCCACCTCCCCAAGCCCCATCTTTATCCAGCCCAGCCCTGTTCCAGACAGCCTGCATGTCCCCGCAAAGCCACGCACCCATCTCCTCCCGACCTTCTACTAGGATCACTGGTGGTCCCCCCAGGAGGGAAGAAGGGAAGGAAATTGGGTGGGGCAGGCTGGGGACAGCCCAGTGGCTAGGAGAGATTGAGGGCTTCCACAGGGATTTATGTCTACTGGCATGGGGCACGGGAGCTTTTGGGCTGTGCAGGGCTGTAGCTGGGAGACTGGGGGGATGGGGAAGTGAAAGTGGCTTAATGACCTAAGCCCCCCTTTCTTTAGACGATGGGAACTGGTTTTGGTGATGCAGAGGGGGTTGGGCCCCGGGCGGTGTGAGGACCAAACAGAACGGGAGGGGCCTGGCCTTGCTGCGGCTCTCAGAGAAGGTTCCTATCTGGGCTGTCCAGCGGCCACAAGGGGTTTGCTGCTGGGTCACGCACATAGGGGCGACTGGACACACCGGGGACAGTCAGCCTTTGCGAGTGGGCAGGAGAGGGCCTGATGGGGTGGAGCAGGCTGGGGCGATGATCTGTTTCCTTGGACCAAAGGGGATGGAATAGAGATCTGGCAGGGCCAGAGAGGAGCGGGAGATATAGGAGGGTGGGGTTCATTCCTGCCAAGGGGAACTTTGCATCACCGAGTGGGGCCAGAGGTTTTAGGGGCTTTGTAGGGTCTGGCCAAGTCATATGGGGGTGGCCGTGCCATTCACTTGTTCTGTGGGGCAGGGGCAAGGGCTCCGCAAGGTTTGGAGGGAGTGTTGGGCCGGGGCGGCGCTCACCTGCCGAGTAGGGCGCGGGCTGGTGGTCACGAAGGGCGCCAAGCGCGCAGTTGGAGGAGCCGAGCGCGGGGCAAGGCGGCCCGGCTGCGGGGAAGGCGGGTCGCAAGGGGCTGTATTGGAAGCCGCCAGGCTGGCTGCAGGCGCCGAAGTCGCCGTAGGCGGACGCCTCCATGGCCGCCACGCACGAGTCGTACGAATTGAGGTAGGAGTAGTCCATCGGCCCGGGGGGCAGGGGCGGGGGCCGGGCCGGGGCCGGGTCGGGGTCTGGGTCTGGGTCCGGGTCCGGGTGGAGTTCGGGATGGAGCTTCGAGCGCCAGGCGCCAAGGACCCGAGGCCGGCTCTGAGCGCCAGAGAGTCAGCCCGCCCCGTCGCGGCCGCACTCTGCCCGGGTGCAACGCAAAGTGCAAATCGGGCCGGGCCGCGCGCCTTTTAACGCGCAGGACCCCGCGGAGGGGGCGGGGCGGGGCGAGCTCCGCGGGGGCGTGGTCGAGGAGGCCCAGGCCCCGCCCCCGCCGCCCCGACCCCCCACCTCCCACCCCTACCCCAAAAGGTCCCTGCGGCGCTCGCGGGGCTCCCGAGGTGCTGGGCGGAGCTGCGCGGGCCGGCCCCCCGGGGCCCGCATCCTGCCCCACTCAGTGTCTCCATCCGATGCCCAGCCGGCGGGTCTCGACCTCCTTCGCGGGGCCTCTCCACCTGCGGCCCCGCGGGAGCCCGGGGAAGCAGGCCCGGCGGCGCTCGTGTGAAGAAGTTAATTCAATTTGTCCTGCTAACCGAGTTACTCGGATCCCGCCCCCAGCGGGGTCCCATCCCGGCGGGGACTGCGGAGACGGCCCTGGAGTTGGGGGTGGGAGGTGGAGGAGGCGGCGAGGACGAGATGGAGCCCGGGAGCCTGGGACCGGGACGGGCAGAGAGGAGAAGGAGACGGGCAGAGAAAGGGACAGACGTGGTGGTGATGGAGACGCGGGACTTGAGAGGCACGGCCGTGGATGGGGGTGGGCCGAGACAGATGGGGACCAGGCAGTGTGAGCTGGAGACAGAACCGGCGCCGCAAGAGAGCCAGCCTGGGCATGGACGGCAAGCACTGCGACGGAGGCGGCCCGGAGCGCTGCAACCCCCGACAGGACGGCGATGGTGGCAGATGCTCACGGAGGGACCGGCCCCCAGACACCGGAGGCCAGCGGAGGCTGCAGCTGAGGGTCGCGGGAAGGAGCTCAGGGACCCGGGCATGGTGAGCGAGGTGCGGGAGCCGCCCTGGCGAGAGCGCCCCCCGGGCCAGCCCAGCTCTCCCCTGCTGCCCTGCCAGCTGTCTCACACAGCTGGCTGTGACCCTCAGGCTCGGGGCACAGGGTGTGGGTGTCAGAACCGGCAATAACCAGGAAACGTCTTTTCTTCCTCCACCGCTCCAGGGGCCCTTTCTCCCCCTGAGGAAACCACCTAGACTCAGTCTGCTCCTGGCCACCGCTGTCCTTTGGCGGATTCGTGGAGCGCGCGCGTGTGTGTATGTGTGTGTGTGTGTGTGTGTGTGTGTAGGGCGGATACACCCAGACACGCAGAGAGTGCTTACCAGGAGAAGGGAACAGAAAGATTTGGTGAGCCTGGCATGATGGCACAATTGGCTAATCCTCCCCTTTGCAAGCACAACATCTTATATGGACACTGGTTCATGTCCTGGCTGCTCCACTTCCCATCCAGCTCCTTCTTGTGGCCTGGGAAAGTAGCAGAGGCTGGCCCAAAGGCTTGGGACCCTGCGTGTACATGAGAGACCAAGAATAAGCTCCTGGCAACTTGCTTCAGATTGGCTCAGCTCCAGCCATTGCAGCCATTTGAGAAGTGGACCAGTGGATGGGAGATCTGTGTCTCCTTCTCTCTGGATATCCGTCTTTCTGATTTGTTTATTTTTATTGCAAAGTCAGATATACAGAGAGGAAGATCTTCCATCTGATGATTCACTCCTCAAATGACTGCAGCAGCTGGAGCTGTGCTGATCCAAAGCTAGGAGCCAGGAGCTTCTTTCAGGTTTCAGGTCTCCCACACATGTGCAGGATCCAAAGGATTTGGGTCGTCCTTGACTGCTTTCCCAGGACACAAGCAGGTAACAGGATGGGAAGCGGGGCTGCTGGGATTAGAACCAGCGCCCATATGGGATCCTGGCGTGCTCAAGGTGAGGACTTTTAGCTGCTAGGCCACAGCACTGGGCCCCAAAATAAGTAAATCTTAAGAGAGAGAGAGAGAGAGAATTTGGGTGTCCCTAAGGCTCACGAAGGCCGGGCAGCTCCCAGCTGTCTCCAGCAGCACCTGTGCCGTTCCTGTGATCTGTGGTTGGGGATGCTCAGACCCAGCGAGAAGTCAAGGAGAGTCTTCTGGGTTCCCAGGCAAAGTCCTTGGGGTGGAGAGGCCTCCTGGAATCCTTGTGCCCAGCCCAGTGGTAGTCCCAGGCTCCCTTGGTCCATCCCTTTCTTGCCTCACTAAAGGACTGGCCAGTTCTGTAAGTATGCTTTGCTTTGCAGGGATGACTTATTTTTTCCAAAACTTTTTATTGTCATGAAATACACATCATCACCCTTTCAAAGTGTGTGGTTCAGGGTTAAGCACATTCATGATCTTGTGCAATCACCACCCCTATTCATCTCCATTACTTAGTTTATCTTGAAAGTTGGAAACTCTGCCCAGTAAGTACCACCCCTCCTCCCTCCCCAGTTTTGGCCACCCATCTGTCTCTCTCTCTCTGAGTATGACATTAGGTGTCTCATCTGCCTTTTTTTTAAGGAATGGCAGATTTACAGAGAGGAGATACAAAGAGCTTTCATGTACTGGTTCACTCCCCGAGTGGCCGCGATGATCAGAGCTGAGATGATCCAAAGACAGGAATCAGGAGTTTCTTTCTGGGTCCCCCACAAGGTGCAAGGTTCGAAAGCCCTGGACGGGTCAGCCTCTGCTGCTTTCCTAGGACACAGGCAGGGAGCTGGATGGGAATTGAAGCAGATGGGCCAAAAACAGAGCATATAAGGATGCCGATGCTTGCAGGCAGGGGAGGGCTAGCCATCTGAGCCATTGCACATGCCCTCTTAGCAATCTCTTTCCATGACTTGCTGATTTCTTTGAGCGTAGCATCCTTCAGACCCACCCACCTTGTGGCATGCTTCAGAATTTCCTTTCTTTTAAAGTCTGGATAACATGTACCCCCCATCCTTACACAGCCACTGAAGTTGCTTCCACATTTCATCTCTTTTGAATAATAACATGGCTGATTGTGGGTATACAAACGTCTCCTTGGGATCCTACCATGTATTATTTGTGTGCTTCTTTGAAAGGCAGAGTGACAGAGACAGGAGAGAGAGGTCTCTTCGATCTGCCGGTTCACTCCCAAATGGGCTTATCAGCCAGATCTGAGCCAGGCTAAGCCAGGAGCCAGGAACTCCATGCAGGTCTCCCAGGCAGGTGGCAGGGTCACAGGTGCCTCATTACCTCAGAAGCAGAGCTGCCAGTGCTCTAACATGGGGTGCTGGTGCTGAATGTGGGGGCTTAACTTGCCTTGCCATAGCACCTGTCTTCCTGTGGTTCTTCTGGCTACCCATCCAGCAGCAGAATTGCTGAGTCACATAATGATTTTTATTTACATTTTTAAAAAGAATTTGCACTGGGTGTTGTTTTCTACAGCAGCTGTGAGTTTTATTTCCTCCCAGAAGTGAAAGGGGGTTCTAGGTTTTCCCCCATCCTTACCAACACGTGTTTTTTGTTTTTCTTGAATGATCTTTCAGGTCTGCAGTCGGAGAGGTTGAGACCCTGCTGCTGCAAAGGCTTCAATGCAGCCTTTGCGCTGCGTGTGAGGTGACCTGCGCCCTCAGCCCCGGCTGGGAGGGGAAGCCACGAGGCCTCAGCTCTGGGAACGGGGAAGGGTCCGCGTCCCAGCCAGTCACTCGGTCAGCCCGAATCCGTCCAGTGCTTAGGATGAGACTGCGTGAAGGCTGTGGAGTGATTGCTCCCACTCTCCGTGTTCCGCAGAGCAACAACTCTCCCCTCTTCATCCTTTCCCTCCCCAGGACTGGACCTTCTTCCCGCAGTGGGGGTGGGGGGTGGGGGCGGTACGTGTGTTGGGGGAGTGCACCCCTTCCCGTGCTGCACAGGGGGCCAGCTGCAGGCCTGGAGGAGCCGCTGGGGGAGGTGCAGAGGAGCGTCTGCTTCCAGCCCTCTCAGCCCATGGCTCCACCCTGTCGCAGTTTGGTCCTTCGACCAATAAATTCCCTTCTGTCTAAACCGCTTTAAAAATGAATGAGCTTTATTACACACGCACCCAGAGCGCTCCCATGCCGTGGTGCACTCCTCAAAGGCCTGTGGTCGTGAGGCTGCGCTAGGGCCAAAACTAGAAGCAAGGAGTTCAAAGCAGTCTCCCAGGTGGGTGGCAGGAAATCAGTTACTTGAGCCAGCATCACTACTTCCCAGGGGCTGCACTGGCAGCAAGCTGGGGTTGGGATTCAAGCTGGAAGTTGAACCTATGTTGCAATGTGGGCGTCTTCCCCACTATGCTCATTGCCTAGCCCCCATGAACCGAGCTGGGCTTCTGGAACTTGCTACCAAGTTTTGAGTGAAATAATCTCTAAAGGCTTGATGCCTTTGTATATATACACACACAACACATTCATATATGTAGTGATGTGCATGTATATATATGTATAGTAATGACGAGTTTTATTATAAAATGCATGTTACAGCATTAGCTGGGACAGCAGCTGGGCTTCCCATGCCTTGGACCTGTGGGGTGGAGGGAGGGCCTTTCTGTCTGTCAGCATCTGTGTCTGCTGATTGACACAGGATCTGAGGAGCATCCCAAGGAAGGGCCTTGAACCTCATCCGCTGATGAGTGCGGATGGGTCTTTCAGCTGGTGGAATGGACGACCTTCAGAGGCACAGCTGCATTGGTGTGCATGCATGTGTGTGTGAGAGAAGGGGGCAGGCGAGGGATCCCCCTGCGATCTCACTGAGGCGTCAGAATGGGACGACTTTTGTAAGAACCTCATCAAGAGAGACTGGTGGTAGAGAGCCTGATGTGGGGAGCTCATCCTGAGACCTCCCCATCACAAAGCGTGTGCATGCATCTATTTGTATGTACATGCATATGCATGTATGTACCTCTGTGTGCATGTGTTTGCATGTGCGTGCGTATATGTGTATGTGTTTTTTGGTGTGTATGCATGTGTATGTGCTCCCAGGGTATTGAGC